ATGTAATAAAGGATTTTATTTTAATAGCTATATTCGCTTAGCATATACATTAAATATTGAACTAATACGTTTTATGAATACCTATGACACAATTGTATGAATATAATATAATTTATTAATTTTTTTATAGTGATATTTTCCTCCGATATTATATGGTACTAATGACTTTAAAAGCACTTTTGACAAGCAAACTCAATATTTTCAAGCCCATAATATAATGGATATCATGGGTGACAAAAATTTAAATTAGTATTAATATGAATTCATCCGTTATTAATGAGAGTCAAATTTATAATTGATATTTTAATAAACTACATGATCGAAACCAGCAATAATAATGCCCATTCAATCAAATTTAATTAATCAGTTTATTAAAACCTTTTTTTATAAAAAAAATTTATCACTTCCATCAAAATAGCATAAAATTGCAATGGTGCGAAGGATCGGGAGTGTATTTTTGATGTCACGTTTGAGAATATTTTTTAAAAGAAACGTAGCAAGGACAGATGTGTATGTTTGTCATAAAATATCATATCCGTTTGAAACTATGAGTAAAAAGAACTTCACCGCTATTGGTCATGGAGGGGTGGCCACGAGGTTCTGTAAAATATACCAAGTCAATAATATACAGTTACGCACGTCTCTTACGTTTTTTAATATTATTTCCATGCAGAGTCACTCAAAAGCCAAAACACTGTACGGCTAAATATTTAATATAAATAATTGTCTTTTAAAATGTAGCTAAACTAATGAAATATTTATCTAAGAGTCTCGTTGATGGCCCAACGGTGGCGGTGATTGTTTTACTTTTTCACTCGAAAGGTCATCACGAGAATAGGTTTCAATATATTTATTTAAATTTTGCTTAAAAAGAAAAAATAAATAAATAAATGTGTAAAGAAATTTTAAATATCATTGCAGGAGGGCCGTTGGGTATGGCAACGCGTATTATTTTTCAAACCTTGGCCCAACTGTCCGATTCTTTACTGATCATCCCTTTGCACGTTCACTACCACCACTATATCACAATACTAATAATATAAATAACTATAATAATAATGATTTGTATATTAAAATAAACCTTCACAGTGAAGTATATATCAAACATATAATATATTTTTCAGTAAAAAAAAAAAATTAAATAAATAAACGGTACCTTATACGTGCTTCTCAAGAAGATAAATATTGATACTTGTAGACTTCTTAGAGTCAGCGTGCCGCTATCTGGACAGTTAAACGTTCAGTGTCTAGTGGAGTTCTGTGCCAACAAGAAGCAGTCACGTTGAAAACAATCTACTACGTTCAACAACGTACGCAATTTGGTCGTTTATGGGTGCACGTGTGCGTACGAGCATGTGTGTGTGTGTGTGTATGCGTGTATGTGTATGTATTGTGTATACTATGTGCGTCAACTTCACACGGGTCCTATATTCTTGAGTTAGCAATTACATATATTCACCCGGCGATGATACACAATTGTAATGTGACGATCAAACGATCAATTGACTCTGGGCGCGAACGGGGTTAATGGTTTTTAAAAAGGATCAATTTAACATCGCGCATTGTAAGACAAAAAAAAAAAAAAAAAAGAAAAAAGTAATAATAATAAAAAATTGAAATAATTGGTTGAATGCACACGAAATGTATGAACGGACAAAAGGCGCATAAACAATATATGATGAAAAGAAAATTTAATGGAACGTAAACACGCTGGAAAAGTGGTTTGAAAATGATTTTTTTCACCCGAGGTAAAATATATGTATCATGTGCACGTGTAAATAGACGACGATCATAATATTACTACTATACTATACACGGTGTGCCAAAGGTGTCAAAGAGCTTATGTAAATTAGCACGCTTGTGTGTTTCCATGGTCTTGTAATTTGGTGCAAAATTAAACGCTTGTGCAGGTATTGCGTTTGAAAAACGGACTCGACGTTGGGTGTAAATTGAATATCATCATATCATATTATTTATTGTTCCATCGTTTTTTTTTGTGCTTTAAAATGAATGCATTTTATACCATCAACTCGTATTGATGGACGTCTTACTAATATTAACTAAGATCAGCTGTACGATTCGCATTTGTATTTTGTCGCCATGTTTTCTTTGCTTTTCATTGATGCTTATTGAAATGTTTTGTTATGTTATGTTCGATCAATCATAATAGGTCAAAAAATACGACACGTATCTCGTTTCGACTCAGAAAGAAAAAATGCCCATCCTATGACATATTGAAATGTGAATCCATTATAGGACCTATTGTAAAATATTGTTGAAAGAATTCGTAATGGCTTCCAATGAAAACTATATTTCTATAATATAGATATACAAGCGTAAACAATTTGTGATTTGTTTCAAGAACGGTATTTCGAAAACACCATTCTCATTTATTTTATTTTACACAGTTGTATGATAAAATGATATATAATTAAATTTTTATATGATTCGAAATACTTTGTATCCTTACAAGCATAGGTTAACTTAGTAGTATAAATTATAATATAAATCGGGTTATATATATTGGGTTTTGCGCATTGTTATTGTCACGTAATAATATTTTAACGTGCGTGGCGTTTTAATCGAATAAATTATAATGATTTTTAATTGTTCAGTACAATACACTTCTAGATTCTAAGACAATAATACAAAACAACAGCGAATGTTACTCCCCAATTCAAATAAACTTAAAACTGAAAAATCACACGTATGTATCCAAAGCGTTACTATTCACAGCAAATTATTAACTAAGTCTTAGTATTATCATTAGAAATTGTAATATTATTTTTATTTTTATTTTTTTGTGGGTGGGGGGGAGGCCATAGTTTTACTTTTTACTTGAAAGAAGTCCATGACTTAAAAAATGTTAAGAACCTATGTCCTACATAGATTCATTTTTTATATTTGTTTGTTTTGCTCAAATCACATAAATCAACCTTGTAAAGCGGGGTTTAGTAAGTTTTTTTTCTCTCTTTCAAATGTATTAAATAATGGATCTTAACACTTTTCGCGTGTAGTCCATAATACATCGGCCATATCGGTCGAATGTGACCATTTCAATAAACGCGAATATCTACCGTCAGTTTAATATCATGAAATATCTTCAACACAAAAACGTATAATAAATACCAATGCAATTGCCTAGTTTCATAAATGTCATTTGGTTGTCGCCATTAGTACCTATCATCCATGTTCGCGCGAAAACCACGTAGTCGCGAAAAACTTTTATTGCGTTATGGATGTTATACGGATTGATGACTGATTGCGGAACGCGTTAGTGTCTACGGTATCTCTTGTGCGAATAAATTATAACAGATTTTAGTATTCGAAATTTATCGTACAGAGTATTGTCACGTTGATCATTGTATATCATATGATTATTATATGTTGTACATCAATAGTTTCGAAAAAATTCTATGTTATTTATATGATATTTAGATGATTAATGATTTGGATTTGAAAAGAAAATATATTTAGTACATTTTGATTTAGAAAAATAAGTTTTGCTCACTCATATTTATTATGAATCCTGAAAAACTTATTCTGCCAGTGACATTTGTCGATATCATTAATGATATTTTGAATTTTACTAAGCTAATGAGGGCTTAAAAAAAAGTAAATAGTAATAGCAGTAGTAGACTTAATAAGAAATGTACCCTGACATACCTTGTTTAATATTTCATTAACACCTACCTAGGGTAGTATTAATCAAAAACATTTAAGGTTAAAATTAATTTGTACAGTCAATTAATATAAAAAAAAAAGAATGTATAACTAAATGTAAAATAATGTAAAATAAATAACTGACAATTTATGTTTATTATTTTACATTTCGTATTATAGTTTTACGTTGTTCCAAAATAAAGCAACAAAACGATTGATTTATTCAATCGTTATTATTAAATCTATCAATCTATTATTCAACGAAACGATATATATAATATATGTAATAATAATATATTATATAAAATAATAATATTTATAATATGTTTCAACAATTAATTTTGAATATTTTTTTTTCTCTTGATAAGAAATATTGATGTATTTCATATTGCAATTTCACTTTATTCTGTAAAACAAATTATCAATGAAATAATATTTTATTTTTTTCTTTTGCTAACATATCGACAGTATTTTTATTGTTATCGACTTCAGAATTAAGTTATTTTTAAAATATTTTTATAAATGTAAAACGGAAAAATCCAGAGTATTAATATAGAAATACTACGCTATTAATAATAATAACAAATGTATAATTGAATTTCCGAATTAACTGAACTGGATAATTGAAGCTAACCTAAAATAACAATATAATGACAAAATGCACATAGAATATATCATCATCAAAGATTGTATTGCGACCAGTAAACCAATAATTAATGACTTTCAATAGAAAATACAATAACAAAATAATTATTACTTTTTTTTTTCTGTTTTAATTGATGACCGAGCGAGTGCTGTTTTTCATATTACTGCCACTCGGCCCCTAAATAATTATTACTTGTAAAACATTATAAGTTAAATTGCATTTTTAGAAATAAATGTATTTACTACGGATTTTTTGTTTTATTGGGAGATTTTTAAACATTAGTTATTATATTTACAATTTTTTGTAACATAATAAAAAAAAAAAAATCAATCGTTTCAATTTCTTCGATAAATAATATTTATTCCTACAAATAGACAAGTATTATATTTTGCAAAGTATAAATTATAAATTATTTCGAATAAAATACAATATACTCTGGTTTATATTACATAATATTAATTTAATAACATAAAAAAAAAAATTAAAAGTCATTACTCATAACGTACTACTTTACTTATAACATTAATTTGAATCAAAAAAACAAAAGTCAGCTAATTTCTATAATCTAATGACCTATAATATTCTACTTTAACACACTATTCTACGAGTATTTAACTATAAAGTTACAATTTTTTTAACACCATAAATGCTTACTGTTCAAATCATTTGCTCTGCATGCATTTTTACCTACCAGTATCTGTTATATCGTCATCATCCGACGGCAAACCAGTTGCTCTCATTTCTTCGTCGGATATATCTAGTTTATCTGTCTCTGAATCCATTTGATCCATTTCTGTCGGGGGGTCTGGTAAGTCAAATGAAAATCCAGGCGCAATTGTTCTTTCCTCATCAGCTTCTGAGAGAGGAGGCGGTGGTGGCCATGATGATTCTTGGCCTGTTGAAGTCTGTAACACCTTCGGTTATGTATTATTGGTAGCATAAAAGGATGAGTAAAATTATTTAATTACAATTCAATTATTTAAAAATATAATAGTACATTTGTAGAAAAAAATGATTTTCAATGGGTATTATAGTTATTAGATTTTAAGCGAAGCGTTGATGTTTTAATGATGTTTTAGGTTATTTCTTTTTTGAATAAGACTTTATAATTTTAAGAATTTCGGATACAGCGATTCAGCATAAAATCACTCTTATTGTTTATAATTGGTTGGAAAATTTAACTTTAATAATATTTTACTTGGGTATTTTATTTTTAATTAAACCAGTAGATTTTCTAATAAAAAGAAAACACTGAAAAAAAAACTGGAAATAATGTTTAACGGTATTTATTAAAAGTTATTTAAAGTTTGAAGTATGATATATTAATAGAATATAACTGATTATTTTCATAAATAGAGATTATAATTCTATATGTATATTGTATTCTGTTATTATTTATATTATTTATAAAAAAGGTTTGATTCGAATTCATTTTTGTTGACTGATATTATTAATTTATTATTTTATTTATTTTCAAATTTGGATTTCATAATAATATAATCATTGAATCTGTTTGGTCACCGATCCCAAATAGTTGAGAAAAAGGCGAAAGAGAAAAAGAAGAAAATAATAATATAACCATTGAATAATACATTGGAATGGAAACGGACACAAAAAACTTAATATTTTTAAATAAATTACGTGAAAAACTTTATTTTTTAACTTTATAGTTCTTTATAACTAGTATGGATTTTTAAAAATTGATAAAATAATATCAAAGATTTTTTCAGTGCTTATGTAATTGTATTAGATACAATACACATCTATATAATTTACTCGTATTTACGTTTTGCCGTTCGTCAAATGAAAATATGTTTAACATTTAAGTACATAGACTAGTAGTAATCACTATGATTTCACTATTTAGAAACATTAAGAAACGAGTTCGAAGCTTAGTATATGCATAAACTATATCGGTAGTAACTTAACAAAAGGATAATTGTATTAAAAGTTATACCGAGATAAAGGGTAAATTACTTGGTACACTTGTAGTTCAATCATCTTTTAGTAATTCAGAGTTCTTAAGTACAAACTTTCGATGATGAAGCATTAATAATTTTAGAACGTTAACGATTCAACACCAAAGGTTAAACTATCGCAGTAGTTACGTTACAGGAGAGATAATGGACAAGCATGAATTGCGCTTGACGAAGGGATAAAAATGTAAACTGCGCCCAATCAATTTTAGGTATAAATTTACACAGAGTAAATTTAGCTCTATATATTTTAGGTTCACATACATATATAGTGAATTGCGCCCAGTAGATATATCATTTTTATAATTACCGTTTAGAATTTTCCTGAGGACACAACGAGAAGGCGATCACTGTCCTCCAAAATTCATTTTTTTTTTTTTTATTAAATATTATGAGTGGGTATATTAAGTATTTTAAGTTGTTAAAAATATTTTTTGTTTGGTTCAGTTTTATAGGGTGGAATATATATGAAAATTGGATCCGAGTTATGTATTATTTGATATATTATATTTATTTTGCAGACAAATAGATTAAATATAATGTGCTTACGAAAATATCCAGATATACTTCGACTAAGCTATTTATCACAATTTTATATTTAAGTTAACAAGACTTATAGTACAAGAAGTGATGATTTCTAGGAGGATAAAAAAAATTTTAGTTGTAAAGTTTTTAGAGTTATCGAGGTTTGAGTTACCACGACTTGACTGTACTATGAGCACTATTTACTATACCTATTTTAAAATCTGAAAATACCGAACAAAAAAATTTACCATATTATTTTTACTACCTGCTCAATGTGAGTGCATTTTACAATCATACAAGACAATAAGATATAGTATACCCAAAACTCACAAAAAAAAAAAAAAAAAATTAAAATAATTTATTATACATTTCAAACGAAAATCTGTAAATCGTATTTTGCCAGCGTTATTGTTATGAGAACTGTTGAGAATCTTCCGATAGATAATATTAAGATGAGTGCATATTCGTATATTTTAATGTATTTGTATGGTGTTATTAATATAATATTATGAGTCGATATCGAATATACAAGTGTGTTAATCTAGTGGCTAGTCCATTGGAACCAAACGAGTATTGGATGAGGTGAATTCGATTCTGCTCAATTGTATACGATGGTGTTGGTATAAATAGAATATCTACACGAGATATTGTATATACATGGGTAATCTTAAGTTATATGAACAATGTTCATTGAACATACATTGAAATATTTGTCATATATTGGTTTAAGGTTTGAATAAAAAAAGTTGAGATTCATTTTTAAATTTATTTTCTTAAAATATAATAATATTTTAAAATAATATAATTAATATAATTAAATAAATTTATAATAAATTCTCGTAGAGTCTCTATTTCAAGAATTTTTTTTCTGTCCTACGTTAATTTGAACGCAATAACAATATGCGGTATTATACATTTTATTTGAAGTTTAAAAAATATATATCTTTATACTTATACTCATAAATATTATATTCAGCATAGCTATACGTAAAGTAATATAATTTTTTTCATTAAGAGAAATATATGCATTGATTTATTTTTATTTATAGTTCGTTTGCAGTGAACTTCAATCCATAAATATACATACAAATTTGTATTTATTTAATACTTAAAATATACTTGTGAAATGAAGAATAGTTAATACGTTGATATGGGTATATTTACATTTTAAAAACGAAACGAAATTACAGCCTTCAATCTAATACAAATAAACTGCAAATTTAAAAAAGAAACTTCACATTTTTTTTTTTTAATTCCTTTGATATTATTCTTATTTTACTCTTGGATATTATTTCAATTTCATTTATTCAAATGATCGTTAAGAATAAACTAGCTTTGTTTATAAAAAAAAAAAAAAATGAAATACTATTTTAAAAATAAACCAAGGGTATATATTAATTTATACTAAATCTCTTTAGTGTTTCTTATGTCACAAAAATAAATAAAATATATTATTAGTTTGATGTTTGAAGGCATAGATAGTATAACATTAATCTAAAATGTATTATTCTAAAGTTGTTAAAAAAGAAACCAACACATTATTGTGTTACTGGACATAATATTGTTACAATAGATAACATTTCTACGAAAGTTTCTATAAACCTACACTAATAATATAAAATAAGGGTGGTTATTTCACCAAACCCTATAACGATTTTGATATAATACTATAGTCCAAGAAAATAGACTGAGGGAGTTGTGTTCTTTCAGATCAATGAAAAAATGATTATATATTTCATAGAGCAGTAAAATAAAAATAAAATCGATAATACTCTGCGACTGAGCTGTGCTTGTTTTTTTCGTGTGAGTAGTATTATTTGTGAACATTTGAAAGTAATGATAAAACAATTTTGATCAAAAATATATGAAATATAAACCGAATGTATTTTTTTAAATAATTGAAACTTAAACTTAAGATTGCATTAAAATTTCTTCGGATAAAAATTTAAGTACTTACGTAACTTGAATAAAATTCCTTTAAAGGTTATAAAGAAAAATAATATAGAATATTTGTGAAATGTATAAGTTATGCCATGTTTTAAACATTTTTCTACGACTTCTAATTTTTAGTATTGAATAAAATATCTTCAGTTTTTAAATGTTAGTTGATCGAATGATGAAAAAATAAAAAAATTGTTTGTTCAAAGTGAACTGTATATACAGGGTTTTGCACGATAAATGTATCAAACTTCAAGAGGTACTTAAACACCTCAAATGTAACAAAAAAAGTCCTTATAACCATTATCGAGTTCTCAACAATAAGGAAGATATTTCGATTTTTTTTGTTTTTTTGATTAGACGCAAGTTTTATTCATAATAATGTTCATATCTGCCGAATCGTTAGTTCTAAAATAAATCTGAATACACCACTGAAAAGCTCATAAAACTAGGATTAAAAAAAATACATTTCGAGGTTCCCACCTAATTTTTTGGGTTAAAGAAATAATACACTTCTTTTAAAACTTCATATTGTTGACATTTTAATAAATTTCAATGTCATTTAACAACAATTAATTTCTAAGACAGGGAGGTGCAAATTTCACAAAAACTTTAAAATGTTATAAGCTTTGGAACGGTGTACTCTATTTTTTCATTAAATTATTTTGAGAGGCAGCTATTCCACTTTGTGTGTGGATTATTGTGTATTATTTGGACAGATGAGAGTATACTTACAAGAGGAGGCGTGTTTAATGTTCATAATAGATATCATTATACTCTAATGATAAATTAAATCCACGCATGGTACGTCAACAACGTTTTCAACGTAGATTTTTGATCAATGTATGGATGGGCGTCATCGGTGGTGTGTTAATTGGTCCATTTTTAGGATTTCCTCGGACGGTAGGTGGAAATACATACCTAAATTTTCTTCAAAATGAACTACCTGGATTGCTTGAGGACATACCTTTAGAAGTCAGGAAGTCTATGATTTACCAACATGATGGGGCCCAACCACATTTCTCAAGAGTAGTGAGACAGCACTTAAATGAAATATTTACTTCTTGGATCGGCAAAGGAGGCACAATTCCATGACTCCCGAGATCTCCAGACTTAACTTCTTTGGATTTTTTTGTTTGGGGATACCTCAAAGAACAAGTTTACCATTTGGAAGTAAATTCTGAAGCAGAACTAAGGCAGATAATTTTTCAAGCTGCTATTGAAATGCGGAGAATAATGACAACAGGAGTAACTGGGAATAAAGTACGTGAGAGAGGACATGCTTGTTTAAGGAAAAACGGTGAACATTTTTAACAGCTTTTGTAATAAACTTATATGTTGGTATAAACTAATTTTAAATCTCATGAAATAAAATTGACATCAGTTTACCATGTTTTAGCGGTTTTTTATTTATCAATTAGAATTAGTTTTCGTTTTTCCACACAAAAGGTGAAATAGCGGTCCTTCCAAATTGTTTAATAAAAAAATGGAGTATACCGTTCCAAAACTTATAATATTTTGAAGTTTTTGTGAAATTTGCACCTCCCTGTCTTAGAAATTAATTGTTGTTAAATGACATTGAAATTTATTAAAATTTTGACAGTTTGAAGTTTTAAAAGATTTGTATTATTTCTTTAATCCAAAAAATTAGGTGGGAAACTTGAAGTGTGTTTTCTTAATCTTAGTTTTATGAACTTTTCAGTTGTGTATTCAAATTTATTTTAGAACTAACGGTTCAGCAGATATGAACAATATTATGAATGAAACTTGCGTTCAATCAAAAAACACAAAAATTATTATTGAGAACTCGATAATGGTCATAAGGACTTTTTTTGTTGCATCTGATGTGTTTAAGTACCTCTTGAAATTTGATACATTTATCGTGCAACACCCTTATATAATATTGTTTATATATTGTTTAGTGTGATGGGATAATGTAATATTGTTTATAATGTCAATGGTTTTATCGTTTCATATTGTAAATATAATTTACGGAGAGACTAATAAGTATCTTCTACCATTTTTTTTTTTTATGAATTTATATTAGGTATGTACTCTAATTTTGTCTGTTAATTCTTTTCTGTTCAATTAGTCATTGATTAGTCAAATCAAAAATAATCAAAATACACGATAGCCTGTCTTTTAAAGATGCAAATGTATTAAAATCAAATGAAAAAACATTTAGATATTATAATAAATAAAATAACTCGTTAAAAAATATAGTTTATCATTATTTCTTTAGTGAAATAAAATAATTAATATAATTTATAACAAAACATTACTAACAATACATTCGAATTTTAGAGTTCAATGATTTTCTATAGGTAAGCTGTTAGTCATAAAAATTATTATAATCGTTTCAGCTGCATCAAACTCAGCGTCGATTAAGTCGTTCAATTATTATTATGCGGATGTATGAACAACATAATATTGATGATGTTGTGTTAATTTATTATTGGTTCAAATATGTCAATATTGTTTTGTTTTAATAGTTATATATTAATACTAGAGGTATATTGATTACGTCCAGGAAACATTTGTTTTAGTGAAATATTATTGGGATGTGAATATTAATGGTAAATAAAAATGAATGTTCAATATTAGTTCAATATTATCAAATGCCTATTTTTAATGCCATAACTTATGAATCATAAGTTTTTAAATGCAATTTTATTATGATTGTATTACCTTTCAAATATAAATTGCAAAAATAATTTTTTATAAATATAATAGGTTTATAATTATTTTATTATATTCTGTGTATTAAATTTTGCTGGAATACCTAGTAGAATGATTTTATGATAAAAATACGCAATATATTATTAAGTTCTCGGATATACTCGTTTATGATATTTGTTCGACTCAAAAGATTAGATGGAAATATTTTATTTGAAAAAAATTAATAAATATATGTAATAGGTTTTATGAAGACTTAAAGTATCATTAGACATTCGACCTTGTATGCAATTTATTTTTTGCCAATTTTAACTATACATGAATAGTATTTAATAGATAAATCATTTCTTGTTTATAAGAATATTTACTAATTGTTTACTAATATTGTACATCGTTCATTGCATGATAAATTATAGTATTATGTCACGCATCAAATTTTTGATATTTGCTGTATCATCAACAGGTAATTTGGACATGGTCCCACGATTTAAACATTCTAAACGATTTTACGAATGAGGAAATTATGAAGTAAATTATTAAGTTTGATACCATTCTGATATCACCGTGTCAACCTGGTTGTTAGTGTTTCGATGGTAAACGATAACAATTAAAACGTCATATTTCGTTCGGGGTCTTAAGCCTCACAAATAATGAATCGTGATGTTTTAAATTTCAATGACTATATAAACTCAAACAATCATTTAGACCAGCGGTTCTCAACCTTTGGGTGCAGCTGATCAACAAATTTACCCAATTTTTCATGAAACCTTTTCATGTATAATGATCAATATGGTCAATAGAGGATTACGTACGCCCCTTCCCCCCAACTGCACCATTATTTTTTTCAATTACTATAACAAGACATGAATAATGGGTAGATATTAAGTGAACATTGTTTTATTAATAATAATTGATAAAAAGAAAAACACTGGTTAATTAATCACCAACAATTTATCAAATTCGATATTTTCCATGAATATTGACCAACAAAATATATTTATAACTTTAAATGATCAAAATGTGAATTTATATTTATCTGTCGAAAAAAATAATATAAAAATTATGTAGGTATTCATCATTCATCTTTTTTAAGAACCATTCAAAATAATTTTTTACGACTCACAGGTTGAGAAACGCTGGTGATTTACACCATTAGAACACCAATTATAAATAATAGGGGTGGGAGCAGTCAATTCCCATACAATACAATTGAAAATAAATATGTAGGACGAATGTAGAAATGGCAATCGTTACTATAACCAAACGTGATGACAAGGAAATTTTTCGTTGGTATTTTTTTTTTTGACTTTTGTAGAATAAAATATCAGATTTATTCTTAGCTATGTATAAATACACTCGTATATCTGCACCGGCACGTATTTTATTATAAGTGAACGCATTAATAAAAAAACGGAGAAGTCTGGTTGTACGGTGAATACGCACGACTGCAACACTAGACTAATAATTATATTGCAAAATTAGAGTAACTTTACGCAGTGGTATTATTTGGGTTGGAGGGGTAACTCATGCGTTTACCACAGTTTAGAGTTAAGCTATACCTAAGTCGGTACATCATCAAAATATAAATACGTATTTTATAAAACCATTGATATGTTGTAAATCAGAAAAATAAGACGTTCACCCTTATACGGTTGCATTCGAAAACCGCACGCTTTTGATTTCGACCCCAAAAAAGTTAATAAACGTAGAAAACCACACACTCTATTGGTAATTTTATAACAAAATACCCTTATATTTATGGTGGATTAAAACCGCACACTATTTTTATTGCTAAATAACGGATAAGATATGATAAGCTAAGATTTCACTAAGGGTTAAACTTTGAATTTCACACTCCAAATCCCTCTGCATTTATGGTTATCGATGTCTTACGAAATATTCATATCGATACAGTGTACAAGTATCATATATTGTCCGTTCAATTGAAAAACAATAATAAGTTATAAATACATAATAGTAATATTTTTAATTTTTAATTAAATTAAATTTATATTTAGAATTAATTGTTTAAGTTTTGGGATAAATTTTTAATTGACGGAGATCGTATGAAGTTTTTCAAAACGTCAGCAATCAATTTCAACCAATCAAACTTTGAAAATGTTACATTTTACACTTTTAAATTTTTTTTAAATTAATATTTTAAACCGTTGAACATTTTTTTTTTTTAATAATTAATAATAATAATAAAATATTATTATGATCCGAATCGTTTAGTGTACGATTTTAGGATACAAAAATGTAAACAATTGTGCGGTCTAACCTATTAAATGTGTGCGGTTTTAACCCACCAAAAGTGTGCGGTTTTAAGAATCCACGTTACGTACGAAATACAAATCCTTAAACTGTCGGATTGGTTTGACATCCCCCTCTCCCCACGTAAATCGGCACTTTGGTGGAATGGCCAATTTAACAAGAGCATGTCCTACTCCGGAAATCACTGAAGTGATCCCACTGACTTTAAGCTCATTTCCACATTCGAGACGTTCACCCGTGTTATACGTGTGTATTACGCTCTAATGTAATGGAAAATAAGACCCGTTGACTGCAAATCAATGACGCGGGGGTCCGAAAAATAAAATCCTGTTGACCATTCAATTCACCGACAACACGAGCTTTTCCGACAGGGACACTCACCGAATCCGTCGACTGATGCGGCGGCGGCGGCGGCGGCGGCGGCAGCGAGAAGTCGCTGCTCGCGTAATCGGCCGCCTCCGAATCGTCAGCCGCGTCTCTTTTGGCCCGCACGGTTGACGCCGCCGCGCCAGCGTTAAAGCCGCGCGCGTGGCCGCGTCCGCTGTTCACGATGGCCGCCGTCCTCTCCACGGCCTGCTCGCATATCCGGTTCACGGCCTCCCGCACGCTCTGTATCATCGTCAGACGGTACTCGGCGTCCGCGTTGTCGTTCCCCGGGCTCTCGCCGCTCACGGACTTCTCATCGTTTACGAGTTTCTCCGATTCCTTTGTCGCGCCCGCCTCGACCATGTTTTTCGATGCGCTCACGTCCGATTCGATCGCGTTCGACCCGACCGCTTGCGCTCCAACAACGCCGTTTGGTTCGATCTTGTCCTGCTCAACAGCGCCCGGCTTAACGTCGTCTTGTTCGACCGCGATTGACTTAACGTTGTTCGATTCGACTGCGCTCGCCTCGGTTTCGTTTTGTTCAACCGTAGTAGTTGGCTTATCTGTGTTTGATTCCACCGCACTTACATTAGCCTCGTTTGGTTCGACCACAGTTGGATTATATTTGTTTGAATTACAATCATATAATTCGTATGCGTCTGGATCAATTGTGTCCGTTTCCATCTCAAAGTGTTCGTTTGTGTTCCATTCGACGAAATTGGCCTCGGCTGCATCATACTTCATTGGGTTCGATTCGATCTCATGATTATCAAATTTAATGTCAATCAATTCTTCTTTATCTTTGCGTTTCACTGTGTTCACCGCCAACTGTTCTACTTTGATGCCATTATATGGCAAAGAAGAACCACGAATAACACCATGTTGTTTTTCACCCTTGTCTTCTACGGTCGTTGATGCATCGGCTACTGTCGGATCTCTAGAAGGTAGGCCTGTGAAAAAAAAATAAAGAATTGTGAAAAAATGCTTTAGAATACATTTGTCTTGTCATTCGTCGTGCTAAAATAATTCTAAATAGCTTATCCTAACGTAAAATAAAATTTTCATTTTTTTAATGATTCGTTTTAATACAAATTCGTTATTAACCGAAACTAAAAATATTTGGTCATTAATTCAAATTTGTAACCAAATTTGCGTACAACTACGCGTAAAGAGTAGCAGTCTAAAGGTGTAGCCTCGAAATTTGTTCGAGAACTCTCTAAAAAAAAATATTAGCGTTCATATATTTTTTTTCTAATAAGATTTAATTTTTTTTTTTTTAATTAATTAGAAGATTAATTTTACCCCTGTAAATATTTTTAAATAAAAATTATTATTACTGTATATTTTAAGCAGATCTCTAATTATGTAGAACGAAGCTTTGTTGATTCATAGTCTATATAATATTCAATTACTAGATGTTTTGTTAATTATTATGTAACAATTTAATAATATAACAAAAATAATAGAACAAATAAATAAGGCTGAAATATATTAAATAGTATCTATAATACGTCTTACTAAATACCTACTAATATGAAAACGTTGTATAAAATAACATATGACAAATAATCTATACGTTTATCTTTATTTTTATTTTATTTTGATAATTTGCTCAATTAATTTTACATCTATGGGATAAAATGATAAATTTGAAATTAATTATTATAATAACCGTTTTATAATATCTTATTTCATAATTTACAATTAAAAATAACTTACTGAATGGTTGATAGTTTACTTTTAAAATATTAATTTCACAGTATTGTTTTAAAAAAATTGTTTTATCATTTTTATGTCAACAGGGTTATAAGATTATTTATTTGATTTTTTTTCTTATCACTGTTATTCAAAACGGGGATATCACATGGGGCGTTATTTTATGTGACCCTGGGTATTTTATTTTCATTATTAATGATATTTTTTTTTATTTTTGTAAAAATTATGTTATGTATATACCCGCATTGAGTACGTGTGAAAACTTTCTATATAAATCCGACCAACCCAAGACTTATAATATGTTTCCTATTAACATGATGTCATGTACATCGACTTATTATTTCGAAAGTACCTACACTAGTTTTTTAAAAAAAAAACTTATCCCTTATTATTCCACTAAGATTCAAGTTCTCCTTGTCCTGGAAAACATAATATTTACTAAATGTTCGCATCCACTTTCCATATTATTTTTATAAGCTACTGCAGAAATATTTTAAACATTTTATTTCACCTATATCGGGAAATCCGGATTATAGGCTTTCAATACTTAGAATTTAAACTACCTTTTATCGTAAAGTTATTCGCACACAGAACCATAATAATATATACAAAAGCTAACAAAAGCATATGCAACAAAAAAACACAATATTATACATATATTATTAATACTCTAATCAGAGTAAACGCAATAATAATAATAATAATATAATACGCAATGCTATTTATTGAAATATTAAAAATTGTAATATTGTTGATGCATTGGCGATTTATTATTAAATTACTTATGATATAAGTTGTGTTTCATATGATATTATTATTATAGTTACATTAATTTTGTATTTTTTTATTACAACATTTTAATACAATATCCCACTTAAAAATGTCTACATTGATAAAATATTAATGCGTTCTTATTTTGGGCGATTGTAAACTCGGCCCTAGGAAAAAAAATATTCAAAAGGTCTAAACTCAGCCCGTGATTTTTTCAGATAAAAATAATTTAGGTGTAAACTCGGCTTAGATAAAAATGTACATATAATTTTCTTATAATATTTTTAAGAACCATTTAGCATTACCCAGAAGACATAACGAGGAGGCGATTCTCACTATCCTCCAAAAATTATTTTCATTGTCATATTATTATTCATATTATGAAATTCGTCATATAATTAATACAAAATGTATGTATTGAATTTATCATAATATTTTCTTAAAAAGAAAAATTATATAAGAGTTTTGATAAATTAATTAGGCAATGAAAAGAATGAGAATTTTGTGCATTTAACAGAAAATATTATGAGATATTATCCAAAATAAGGAACCGGATATTAACCGGAAAAAAAAAAACAAATAAATCACAATGAACTATTAATAAATGTTTTAAAAAGATCGGCTACATAAAAATCTTTGTGTGGAATAAGCTAATGTTCAATCTCTTTCTGGTAATCAAGGTTTTAAAAAACGTTTGTGAAAATAAAAATGTTTAATAAATAAATGTACAAGTAAATGTAAATTTAGGGGGATACTCTGCAACTCCAAAAGCCACCCGAATTTGAACTGTTTCAATAAATAACTATACTTTAAATGTTTTTATAAACAAAATAATAACTTAAACATACTTAATTTATTTAATAAACAATTTATTTTCGGATTAATTTAATTTGGTTTTTTTCTACTTCATACTTTATCTTCAAAACATTGGGTAATGTACAAATTGTACATATTTAAGATGGATAATATACACATTATACTGTTAATATGAGTAAGGATTACTTTACCCGGATCATGTGTTGACTATTCATTTTCGAACTATACCCGAAACGTAAACAAACCTCTATGTAAAAGAGTTTTTAGTAGTAACGGATTAATTTCAAACACAGTGAATTCCCAAATCGGTCATTTTGTATTATATGAAAAATTCTTTCATGAAAAAATCAGTTTACACGGAGGTTTTATTTCAAAGATATTATCCACAGAACAGTATTAGCTTAATGATAATTAAGTATTTATTATATTATATTTTATCGATGTTTCTTTAGTATAGTAAATTATGGTTTATAGGAATAACAGTTTATTAAATTAATATATATTAGAAATGTAAAATATGGGTTCAAACCAACTAACTTTAAAAATAGCTTTTCAGCAATTCACTACTTATTAATTATTCGTATAAATGGAAATAAAAATACATTTCCGTTAGAGAAACTATACATACTAATACTATAGTACGTAATAGTATATTCATATAAATAAGTGTTTAATCCAGTTTATTTTTAATATAACGGATATAATTTATATATTATATGGTACACAGAATATTTGAATATTTCGTAATTTTGTTACATTTTTAATCAATTAAATACATTTTTACTTGTATTATCAAAGAAACAAATATAAAATCTTAAAAATTAAAATTTTAGAATTCATTAATATTTAACAGAAATATTTATATGAGTTCATTAAAAATTATCCAATCCAACACGTAGATATATCTCTATTACTAACCATAATGTCCAAAGACATATTTTAAAGTAGAAAAGTGTGATTGTGTTGTGAAATAGTGGAACTTCTGTCACATAGATGATCGATATGAATTGAAGGACATTATATCATGTGTTTAAACCATTACTACTATCCTTTTTATTTCAACAATTCTTATAATTCAAATAAAAAAGTTAATTTTTGACCGTTGTTATATTAAATAAATTTAAATCGTGGTTCATACCTTAATCGTTATTTATGCATAATTTTTACGATAGCAATTTTCTCTGTGGTGAAATGTGTTTAGTTGTTTTTATTGAATTCATTAAAAAAATATGATATAAATATAAACACATTTATAATTAATCGTATTAAATTTTTCCTTATTTTTATTCCTTAGGCCGAAATGGTAACGAGTTATGCTCAATTCGAAATAATAATAATGTTTATCTTAATCATATAAAAGTTATAAAAAATATTTATAAACTCGTTTTATTGATCAATGACATTAAGTATGATAAGTGTTTGGAAAATGTTGTTATTGGGACATCGTTAGTGTATCAAATAAACATAATTTTTGTTTATTTTGAATAACAGTTATGACAAAATATTTTTGACAGTAGCTTTTTAGCAACAAATAAAAAGAAAAAATCAGGCGTTAAAAGGAATTTATTTTTTATTAAAAGTTAATTTTCATGTATACTAACAGTCCCCTTCCATAGATTTTTTCAATACAAATTATTTTATCAATATTTGATTAATTATAACAAAAAAATAACATATATAACCATATATAACACAAATTAAGCAAGGGTTATAAAAATATTCCTAAATTTATTATTTTCCCGGTGTTTTGTTTGTTCAATTCAGATGTTATAGGGGATTTATATTTTATTTTTTATTAAAAGTTAATTTTTATGTAAACTAACCAGTCCCTTTCCATATATTTTTTAAAAACATAAATTATTTTATCAATATTTGATTAATGATAACAATAAAATAACACGAATGATGTGAGGATTATAAAAATATTTCTAAATTAATTATTTTCCCAATGTTTGTTGAATTAAATTATATCGTAGCTATGTAGTAAGTACCTTGTTATAATTATACACATTTTACGCAACCCATTGAGTCAGTGATTAGCTGAGATTATTCGGACCGATCAACAAGTACTTAACTAATTTTCTATGTAAACATAAATGATAGAAGTGTTTGTGTACATCCTCTTCTTTGATGACGTGACTTGAATAATTTATCCAAAACACTTTAGAACTGCGTCTTCAAAGCCTATTAATTTTAAAACATTGCGTTCATCTTAAAATAGTATACTACGGCTGACCCACGTTGTTTCAATTTCGTTCGTATCACAGTGATATGGAAGCAATCGAAAAATATTCTTCGTTTTTGCCGAATTCATTAACTAAACGGAAACTGATCGTGTATGGACTCTTCATTTTCCAAAATATCGCCATTAACTAAATTTTTTTCATTCGTTTACACACTTTCCATTAGAATCATTCACTCAGTATAATATTTACTTTTTATTTTATCGCACTATTTGGGTTGTTCTCAATATTAACCATATAAGATACATCAAAATGACTGGGTAATTATTATTAAACGTCACCAAATATTTCTGGAGCCGCCAAAAATTGAGAAGCTACCGTTTATACCGTAATGATTATTTATAATTATTGTTTTAGTTCTTATAAAATATTTTTTTTACTACAAAGCGATTTGTTTGAGCAAT